CCCTTCTGATCGCAGAAAAGAAAGGACATGTTAGCGTCGTCCAGCTCTTGCGAGACTCGCCTTCCAAGCCTATGGTAGCTCGTTCCGTGACGCCACTCCGGTCGTATTATCGTCTGGCGTAGCAAGAAGCCATCAATCCCAGCGCCCGCGATAACGTACGCGCATTGCGCTCGTCGATCGAGTCGTGAGACAACGCTTGCAACTGCTCTAGCACGCTATGGCCGTGTTGCAGAGGGCTCTCGAGGCACACGACTTGCCGCTGCTCCGATCGACTCTGAACAACCTTGAGATTGCCAGCCAGGATGGAGTACACGCCTTTGCAGTATCCTCTCTTTCCACAGTAGCAATGTGTTAGACAACGCGAGCACTTATGCAACACTCTGACGCGGTCAAGACCGTCTTCCTTCAAGCGGCCGCGACCAACGACACGAGTGTTGTGGAGCGTCTTCTCTCTCTTGGCGCCAGCCCAACGCTAGCAAACGAGGTTTGCACTTTGAATGTTCCTTGGCTGGTTGCCAAAACCGACTTTGCTCTAGCATGGAGAGACTGCGCTGCACCTCGCGGCTGGCAGCGGCCACGTCGCCATCGTCACGTCTCTGCTCAAGGTGGCAAAGGACGAGACATATGTCAACGCGATCAACCACGTACGCACGCTGCACTCTATTTTCTCAGTATGTGAGTCGATCTTCGACTAGTTGGGTCACACACCCTTGCACGTTGCGGCCGCCAAGGGGCATGCGAGCGTTGTCGAGTCTCTTTTGGACGCCAACGCCAACGTCTTTGCGATGACTACGGTACTTACTAATCACAAAGTGAGCTCGACATGTCTGTCTCTAGTCGGGCGAGACGCCATTGATGCTAGCAACGAACGATCGCGTCCGCCCCATTCTCAAACGTGTCGAAGCCAAAGCCAACGCGCAGGTACGACCTCCTGCCTCCTTTCGACTTGAAGCTGACGCAAGTCAAATCACTTAGCGTGGTGCGGAGCTCGTTGACGCCGTGTGCAAGCGAGACTACCGCCAGACAGTAGTGCTTTTGGCAAGCGACGTGAGCCCCAACACTATGAGCGATGTGAGGAGACGACTTGTCATCCGAGAACTGAAGGAATGGCCGTAGGAAGGCGACTCGCTCCTGCATCTCGCTGTGCAACGCGACGACCACAAGGTTCTGGATGCACTCTTGCGTGCGCCAGATATCAAGATAGACGTCTGCAACTCGGTAACCCGCACCAGCGATCGAAAGCACCAACGACAACTTTATATTTCAGAAGCCGGGGGGAAAACCGGGAATCCCGCCAACCAAAGAAGCCAACCAACGACGGCCAACAAGCCTCAACCGCCCGCCCAAAAGGCCAATCCCGAAAGCCCGGGCCCCCGGCTGGAAGAAAATTCAGACAAATGACGTCGTTAGGTGTCAGAGACGGAGATTGAGATGGACATTTCTAGTCCATTGGGCGCCGGCGGCTACGGGGCCGTGTACAAGGGCATCTACAACGACCGATCCGTCGCCGTCAAGACGGCTGCCAACGCATCGTCTGCCCAAGCATTGGTTTACGAGATGGAGACTATGCAGATGTATGTCTTTTCTGATATTTTCTTATTTCCTCATCATTGATGGATTTAGGTGCAACTCGCCGTATGTGCTGCAGCTGCTCGCGGTCTCGGGCGCCGGCACATCGAGTCCCAAGCTTGTCCTGGAGTACATGGACGCCGGCGATCTTCGGAGCTACCTCGACGCCAAGCGACTTGGCCGGGCCACCAAGGTTGATGTCTCTTCCCTTGAAGTGGCGTGGGTGCTTGCGAATGCTCTTGCCGATCTGCACCACAACGGACTTCTTCACCGGGACCTCAAGAGCCACAACGTCCTCCTCTCTTCGACCAACTACATCAAGCTCGCCGACCTCGGGATTGCCCGCGAGAACGAGTCGAACATGACGACAGGCAAGGGCACACCGTACTGGACTGCGCCAGAAGTGCTCACGTCGGGCAGCAACTACAGCTTTGCCGCCGATATCTACGCATTTGGCGTCATTTTGACCGAGCTGGACACGCTCC